TTTATAATTACTTGGAGACATAAGAAGTTGTGGATCTACGTAAGAAATCATCTCATGATCACAAAGTTCAAGAGTATAAAGGAATTCGTACGGTTTATCCAGAAATATAGAGAAATCAAAACCTGTAATTATCAATTTATCATCGTATACCATTATATTTTTGGAGTTCTATTAAGATTAATATGTTAGTAAAGAAATATTTAACATTGTATACACAAACTAACGAGTGCTTACTAAATTACAGTGACAGATATTTGCGCGGTGAATATAATTTAAACCATTAGTAATATCTTTTGCCATTTTTACTTTACTAGGCCAACTTAATTCAATAAACTTTTTCTGCAAACGTGTTCTAAGATCTTCACCATATACATATTGAAGTATAATGTAATGATATTTTGGCGAGAGACCTGGATAACAAAATAAAAGAATTAATACAACGTGAAATTAACCAGTTATTTCAAAATATGAAATCAAATAGCCTAGATTCATTAAATGAACTATACCTTTACTGATTCCTAAAAATCTAATTATATTTTCGTTATTGACCGCGTTTAGCTTCGTTAAAATTTGTACCTGTTTAATAATTTGAGCGATTTAAATCTCTGAAACTAAAAATAAATAAATAAATGGAAATAGAGAATACCTCTCTAACAAGATTTCTATAATATTCGTCTTCGCTTTTATGTATATCATCCTTTAAATATTTAAGAGCAACGTTCCTGTCGAATTCGATTTGATAAGCTTTTTTGATACCGCTTAATGCTGTTATCCAACAAGGTTCAATTTTTTTAAGCGAATCGTAATCAAATTCTATTATGTGTCCATTATCGATAGCATCATTGAGCCATTTTGAAAGATCCCTGGACGATCCCATTTTCATTAAAATTTTTTTTTGCAGAAACCGTATGTGTAAACCGGTGATACGAAATTATATTAATTGTTACGCAGGGGTGGCGATTTTTCCTGACTTCACTTTTTGAAATTTCCATACGTGCATATACAGTGTGGGACAAAAATAATTTAAAAAATTCATGTTCTATCATGTGTCCATTATCAATAGCATCATTGAGCCATTTTGAAAGATTCCTAGACGACCCCTTTTTATTAAAATTTTTTACAGAAACCGTATGGAAATAAATATGTAAACCAGTGATACGAAACTATATTAATTGTTGCGCCTATAATTGCAGAAGTGTCGATCCCGATAAAATTAAGTACCAGGTTTCTGAAAACCAATTCAGACTTCAAAAAAGGTCACTATTTGAAATTTCCATATGTGCATATACAGTGTGGGACAAAAATAATTGGAAAAAAATTAAAATTTTATTTTTATTACTTAATAATTTAATGATTAACCAATTAATTAAGATGTATGTATTTAGATATTGTAACGGTGTAACGGCGAGTCAGTCGGTAACTCTGGCAGAGATTCGCGTAACCGTTAGCAGGTAAGTAAATGAAAGGGTGATTTTAGGCGTGTTTCTATTTGACCGAGTCTTTATTAAATTTTTCACTAACTCATCTCTCGCCTCCTTACATTTTACATTCCTTTTATACTTCTCTTTTTTTACACTTGGCTATGGCGGCTTGGACTTAGGATAATAAGCTATAGTACAATGACAAGGCTTTAAAGCTGCCTTACATAATTTCTCTCATCAATTTCTTTCATCACTCGTTATTACCTAATTATTAAAGCCAACTTACCATTGTTACGACGATCGGTCATGTGACTAACGTCGCGTCCCATTTCTCCGTTACAATATATAAAAAAATAGAAACATATAAAAAGAATTTTTAAATATATTAAAATAATATTATCAAATTATAATAAAAAAAAATAGTAATTAAAATTTTGATTTTTCTTAATTTCAATATATTCATTAAATTATTTAAATTTAAGATTGATAAAACTTCAAATAGTTTTTTTATAATTTTATATTAACAAAAAAATTTTTAACAGATTTTTTTTTAACTTAATATTAAATTATCTATTTCTAAATTGATTTAATAAGTATATTTTATTAAAAATTTAATTATATATTTAATAATTTTTTTTAGCAATTAATTAATAATTTTATAAATTTTTTTTTTAATAAAAAAACTTCAATTTTATATTTAAATATATATAACAAGATATACAGAATCCATATCTCTTATATACACATGCAATAAATTAAATATTAAATTTTTTTTGAAAAAGCAAATGGCTATTATACTTTATTATATTTATTATATTTTTATTTGCAAAACAAGATACAATATTCATAGTATGACATACATTTTTTTTTGCTAAAAGAGTTTAATGCAAAACTTACATAAAGTGTTTGTTAACTATTTGACAAAAAAACTTATTTTGTTTAATTTATGTTATTGTTATTGTCTTAAAAGTTATTAGAATATTTTTTTTAAGATTTTCAAACACTATATATTATTAAAAACTATTATATTAAGATTTATTAGTTATTTTTGACAAATCCTGTTTTAATAATTAAATATAAAAACTATTGTTTAATAATATTTCACTTTCAAACAAATAAAAAAATCAAATATTTTAACAAGATTCTTGAAGAGACACTATTGTTATGAATGTTAATAGTACTATTTTTAGATTATTATTTTAGATTACTATATTACTTTATTATTTTTATTATTAATTATATAGCATATATAGCATATTAGATAAATATGATATTTTTGTCAAATATAACTAATATGCCAGATATGATTGATATATTAAATCAGCCTAATTAACCAAAGCAATCCATGTGACCTAAATAACCTAATTAGGTATATAAGATATATATGACAGAACTGACATATTTTATTTATTGTTTACTTTTATTTTTCTTATATTTCAAACTTGTATAAATAAAACAGTTGTTCTTTTTAACTGTTCAAGAAATTTTCTAACTCTTCTTAATTTTCTTTAATAAAAATTTATTTGAATCCATAAATTAAATTATTGTGTCTTTTGCCTTAAAAATAAATCTTATCTAATTCCTTTATTTTATCAATACTAATATACTACAACAGAAACTATTTTCCTTTAAATTAAGTGATTCTTTATTATTGTTATCTGTTGATCTATTTAATTTTAAGATTTATTAAATAGATTATCAATATATATAGTATATACTTCTATATTAGCAAGATTGATAAAATAAGTATTTGCTTATTGTTAAGTTTAAGGATCCTAATGATTCTCTTTGATTCTGTATTTGATTCTCAAGTTTATATTAAATTTAATAGGTGGGGTATACCCCACCATCATTTTTAATAGTGTTCTGAACCTCATGCGATTCTGTTCGATTCTATTCGATTTCAATTTTCAGAACCATAGTTAAGTTTATATAAGTTAACATTTATAAGATTTATATTATTTAAATTAAACTATAAATAATATTTCAAAATACCTTTAATTCTTACAATATTAATACTTATTTCAATTGCTAATAATTTTATATATTATTAAAATATTATAAAAATTATCAATAATATTTTGATAAAAATATAAAATTATCAAAAAATTTCAACAATCCAATAGATTAAAACTATTTTATAAAAAAGTTAATATTAAAGTTTGCTGGATTTTATATTATCGCTAAAATAATCTCAAAAATTGTATATAAATTAAAATTATCTACTATTTTGTAAATTTATTTTATGTTTTATATTTTTTTATTCAAACTACATCAGGAAATTTTTTGAGCAGATGAACTTTACATATCTCTGCTATTGTTAAAGATCTCCAGAGAATCAAAAATATATATATATATTTCGAAAATCTCTGAAAAATTATTCCTTCTGGAGATTATTAAAGGTTTTCGAAAGTTATTAAAATATTACAAACATTTGCGAAAACCTTCAATAAGCTTCAGAGGAAATAATTTTTTAGAGATTTTCGAAATTTATATATATATATTTTGTTTCTCCAGAGATCTCTAACAATGGTGGAGATATGCAAAGGTATATAAAGTTCCTTTGATCAAAAATTTCCTGATGTATATAAGTTATTATTAAAAAAATTTAAATAATCAATGTTTTTATTAACTATCTGTATTTTTAAAATCAAAATAGAAGAATTTAAAGTAATAACTATTTTAAACAAAAAAATTCTTTAAAACAAATTATAATATTTTGTTAAATAAACCAAATAACTTTTATATAATATTACTTAGAAATTCCAAAAGAATTTTATTAATATTTAAAAAAAATTTCAAGAATTTAAGTTAATGGCAATATCCAATTTTAAAGAAAAAAGAATATAAAAACTTTAACTTATAGCTATATTATAAGATTCATATTACTATATATTTAATAATCTAAATATCTTAAAAAATATTTGATCTGCTTCTAATAAACTATAAATTTAAAATATATTCTTATATGATTATTAAATATTGTAATGAAATAATTAAATTTCATTATATTATCTAATTTTTATTATTGTTTTATTACTATTATTTTATCTTCTTTTGATATTATTTTATTAATATTTTATAAATTTATTCTTAAAATTACTATTTATAGAAAGAAATAGTGTAATAATTTAAGATAGTTGTACATAGAAGATTATGTGACCACATGATTAACTTGTGAATTCTAATATCTCTTTATTTCATTAAAATACTAGTCAAAGACATTCTATCAAACTATAAACAAAATAACTAGAAGAACGTATTTTATTAAAGTTACTAAAGCTAATTACTTAATATAGTTTTAGGTAATTTAGGGATTTTAATTCTGAATAGAATTATTATTTATTATTAATAAACAAGTGAAGAAATAATCGTATAACTAAAAACAATATATAAGAATGGCTACTTAACTCTTTTGAAGAAAAACACAGTTATAGATTCCTTATAATTATAATCATTATATTATTTAATCTTTATTTCTTTCTTAAATCTTTAATAAATTATTATTTATTTTTATTATTAATTTAATAAACCTTTATTAATAAATTTTCTTATATTTTTATAAATTAAAAACTCTTTCCGCTAATTCCTTTGCCAACATAATAACAGACATTCTAAGAAAATTTTTATATTTCTTTGTAATAAAGTCTATATACTTTCATTAACAACACTTATATCAAGAGACCATAGTTTTTCTCACTTGTTTCTTTCTTTCTTTGACATAAACTTTTTATATTTCTGCAAGTAAATATAAGAAATATTTACCTATAAAGTTAAAGACAAAAATACTTTGTTAAGAAAAAGAAACTGTAGAAAAAATACCCACCTCTCTTCTTCCAGAGATTCAAGACTCTAGAAAAGATTGGCATAGGTTTCTAGAACTCTTCTCTCATCTTTCTCAAGCTTTTCTCCTATCTTTTTAAGTGTGTAAACTTTTTTCTAAAAAATTTTGCCTACCTCAATTTGACCCTGAATTTTTTATTATACCAGAATCCTTGAATAATAATTGGCTCGAATTTTGGACTGGTTAATCTACACATAACAAGAATGTAAACAAGACATATAACTCCCACGTGCCCTATTTTGTACAACACAAAACCTAATAATACAATTGGATATAGTAAAAAGAGCAAGGCAATAAGGTGTCCTTTTTGTTAAGAAGTATTATAGTATTTCTCTCTCCCCTCTTGCTCTTGAACTGGTTTCTTTTCTCTTCAAAATTAAAAGAAGTCTCATTTCAATCCAGTAAGAAGCTTCTTTTGTTGTTAATTATCCCAAGAAGGCAGCAAGCATTTTTGTAAGCCTTGTCACAAGTAATAAAAATTCCAATAGGTATAAGTCTTATTATAAGCAGTATGTCAGTCTTGTAATAAGTACCTTAAATATTCTTGGTCAGCAATAAAATGGTAAAAATTAAATAGTTTGCCTGGCTGCAGATGGTGATAAAGGATTTATT